AATAACATCTAAGACTTTATTAGCTAACGAAGAACATTTAAGAACCACATAGATTCATGCAGATGTGAATCCAAAATTTTTTGGTGTATATAGTATTTTGCGCACTTCAAAGTCTAATAATGCCATTTGTGGCAGTAAAAATCATTCATTGGAATGAGCTTATACGTGAACAATAATAAATTGGTATTTGCGTGCGTTCATCATTAATATTTTACGCAGCACAGTTGCAATATATGCACATATGTATGTATATAAAATAAATTCAATAAAAACAAACATAAATATATAACTAAAAGTTTAATATTTGATTAAATCAACAGCGTAAATATTTCACCAGCGGAAAAGGACGAAACAGCCAAAAATTGCGTTTCATAATTCCAAATGTAGTAAATTTTTGCTAACTTACGTGTGGTGAATTTTGTGAAATTCAATGCAGCGCCAATTGAGCGGGAAATGTACATATGTACATACAAGTGTTCTTGTACGTAAATAAAAAGATCAATGAAAATTTCAAAATTAAAAAAATAGGAATTTCATTTTTTTAATCGCAAAAATTAGAGAAAAATTTTGTCTGAGCTTAGCTATAACTCAACAAGTTTATGAATTTATATGAATAATTTTCAATAGCATGTCAAACTTATTAAACTTCACTTATGTTTTCAATTCCTGGTAACACCCTTAAAAATTTATTTCGTACCTCATATAGTTAAGCTTTTCTCAAACTTTTGTGATTAAAAAAAAAAAATAAATTTTTAAACCCTTATAAAATTAATTTAAAATTTTGAAAATTTTGTGGATATCTTTAAGTGGTACTCCATACACAATTTAAATGTTGATATTTTAGGGACCACCCTAATATATATAGAGGATTTATAACTGCACCAAAATGCTTTTAAACTGATAGAAAATATCTAATTAGCATCCCCTTAAACTATTTAAACCTTCATTTTACATACAACAAATTTAGGATTAAAATTTTACGACGCTTAACATGTCTTGTGAACCGCCTAATAGTGTGTATGTATGTCAATTTAGATTGTAAAATTGATTAATTTATGACGTTATGATAGGCAACAGCATTTGTGCCGCCTTTTGCTTACCTCACTCATTATTACTCTTTAATTTTAATTCGCTAAATTTTAGATTTCTTTTCTTAAGAACTTTTTTGCTGCTGCATTTCAAAGAATAGTATTCTATTGTTTGCAAATATTTAATGACTTCCTTTTGACTGTTTGCCTGTGCAGCTGACGTCACCCCGCGTATGGAGCAGCAGCATTTTTACATTTTTTTTTTCAGGCGTAAAAATTTTCGTTTTGTCTATCTTCATTGGCAATAAAAGCTAGTGTTTGTTTGCTTAGCAGCTGTTTAGACGATGCGTTTATACCGGAATGATTCTGCGAATTAAGTCTATTAATTTTTTTGCTCGATTTTTTATTGTTTAAGTTTATTTCTGTTTTGCAATTATTTTGGTTACAAAAACACGCAAAAAACATGAACAGCTGGTATCAGCAGTTATGAATATATACACAAATATGTATGTATGTATGAGCAGCACACAAATATTTACATTTGAAAAAATGAAAAAAAAAATAAAAATGAACAAAAACACTTTTCAAAACAAAACCCCACCACCTTAATGCCGTTTTTATTGAACTTTGCACTTGATATTGAAATTGCTTTAATAAGAAAGTGTGGAAATATTTATTTCGTGCCAAAATCCTCCTTTAACAGCTTAATTAAAAAAATGGTCAACGTTTTCGTTTTGTGTCTATGGAATTTTTAAATTCGCATTTGCTGCACTTAATGACTTCTTAATTTTGGAATTTCAATTTGTCGGCGAATATTTTTCGTGATTTCTTAACAACACTTATTTTTCGTTTTCATACATTTCAGCAAAAGCTGATTGAGGTTTGCGCATTTTTATTTTTTCTGCATAAATTTGCTAAAAATGCTACGCAGTTTATCTTTCTCTTCAACTCAATCTTCCATAAGTACACTTTTACTCCGCATTTTTGATATTCAAATTTATTTTGCCAATCTGCTACATCTGTGTCATATATTATCATGCTATATGCACGTTGTATGTGTCATATTGATCTTGTGGGTAAATGGCAAAATTTCACGGTACCACTTTATATAATCTGTCTTGTTTAGATTGGCGCTGCATTAAAGTAGATGCATTTCGAAGTATTGAACACAACAGGTAGAATACACAACGCGCTTACGACATATTGGTTAAGTGGAAAAGTGAGTGTATTTCCACGAAGCAAGCACAGGTGGCAATAGAAGCCTTAGAAATACTTGCATAAATAGAGGGAGAGTGTGTGAACATTTTCTACATAGATTTTTTTTTACTTACTATACGACTACGATTAAATACAGGATTTTTAATAAAACCATTGAAAAATATGTTTCCTTTAGGAATTAACAAAATTTTTCGTTAATTATTTTAAGTAAGAACCTGATTCTTTCAGCTTTTTATTGCTTAGCCTATTACAAAAATTTATATAATTCGTGAGATTTGGAATTTTTTGTAGTTTCGGAGTTTTACTAGTGCCCAGTGAGGTCACCCTATATTGATGAGTTTTGACTATTTATTTTTTTATAATTTAATTTAAAAAAATTTGTTATAAATTATTTGTAATGAAATTTTATCAAGATTTTTATCAAGTAAAAGCTCCCATCGCTCTACGTTTTCCACAAAAGGGGAACTGATTTCCACATGAGAGAAACTGATTTCATTGTCACATATGAAAAATATGAGTTTAAAGGCAAAAGGCCCGAAAAGTATATATTAGGAATCAAGAAATTTGCATTAAAAAGCTTCCTAAAACTATGCTTACGATTTTTGAGCAGCATATACCTTTCTTGAATGCTGATGGGAGTTCGCAAATGCTGATACATATTGAATGAATAAAGAAAGCACGGCCGAGTTGAGTTTTTAATAGAATAGAAAAAGTGAGTGAGTTAAAAGAAGTAAAAACCTCGCATAAGAAAATTATTTAAAATAATTGGTATGTAAAATTTATCCCAGCCTTTTGCTTCAAGTTTCACTTAAAGCTGTAGAGACACCAGAAATACATTGAGAGCGATAGAGATGCTAGCTACTTGGCAGCTAGTTGAGAAGTTCAGAGCACGAACGACAGATATTAAAAATCAGTATCAACGGGTCATACAGAAAACGTTGCATACTTTTTGGCACACTATTTGTCGTAAAAGCCGTATTCCCTCAAAGTCACAAACTGGTGTGATTTCTAATGCGCCTCAACGTTTGCCGCTGCAGCAAATACGCCGCCACAAAACTAATTTTGAAGTTTTTGTAGTTTTTGTGTATTTTTCTAGCACTTAAAATCGAATTTTTGTAGCACACTTTGCGGCGCACAAGAAATCACAGCAGTGAGGCGCTACAATTTGTGACTCTGCTAGAATATAGGGGCAAATTCAAATTCGAATAAAAATGTTGCACTGATTAAACTATAAAAATAATAATTTACGAAATTTAAATGAATTTCGTGGAATACCGCGAGTTTTTCAAAATTAATGTATCTATGCTGTTGTCGGTTAAAAGTACACCTTTATCCGACATTTATAAGTGTTTTGATTTATCGCTTCGCGAGGCGCTAAAAAATTCCAGTTTGATTACATTTAACCTCGTAATTAGTACAATGTATTTCTGATTACCAAACATTCCACCTAAGAAATATTTAGAAAACTCAACAAACATTTCCCTACCATCGATTTTTTAATAAATTAATGCAATCTTAAAAGCTCATTATGGCCAACACTGCTCCACACCGCGGCATCATAAACAATTGGCGCGCGACGCCATATTACAGCCATTAGCGGGCACCACACACTTTTCACCAGTACCGTAACTGTCGTAAAATTCTAACTTAATTTCCGCTAGCGGGTGAAGAGAAATTCCCCACCATATGCAGCGCCTCAATGGGTATAATAAACCATTTAAGAATGGCGCTTTCGCCGAAATTATGTGCTCATATAACTACGTTGGCGTTTTCAATGAAGGCAAGTAACAGACAATGTTGCAAGGCCAACCACGACGTGCTCACACACATAAATATATATTTTTCTTTGCTTTTAAGCAGGTAATCTGCTGCTCATATTGGCTGCTACTTAAGTAAATGCTATGCGCCGCGCGGCGCTAAGGAAAATCGCCTCACAATTTAAGCTTGCGTGCTTGAAGGAAATCTGTTTGCCTTATAAGCGTGGCACACGAAAGTAGCGAGTGGTGGAGTAAAAGTGTTGAGGAAAATGCGAGAAATTATTCCAAATGCTTTCTACCACACCGACTTAAGTTATTAGACGCATTAAGAAGTTTGAGCGCGTTGATAAGTATGTAAAGGTGACGCCATTGTTAGTCTACGCTGGCAGCGGCAGTCGAAGGATAAAGGACATGCATACGTATATTTGCATATATGTATATGTAGTTTTTAAGCCAAAAAAACACACACACACCTCCTACACACGCGGCTAGTCAAACGACGCATTCTACCGCAGAACGCCCTCGCTCGCTGTCCCGCCCATTCACTTACCGCATTTCAAAATCACGCAACTCCTCAAATGTCAACGTATTTGTTACATCCAACAATTGCCGCATATTTTCATCACGTTTCTGTTGTTGTTGTTGTTGTTGTTGCTGCTGTTGTTGTTGCGAAGCTGACTGATGTTGATGATGTGCACCCGCTGGGTGATGTGGTGGATGTTGCAATTGTTGTGAGTTACGCTTGCGTGCGTGTGCTGATGTGTGTATTGTGCCGGCGGTAGCGGTTACTCCAGTTGCTCCAGTTGCTGTTAGGGTCTCTTTGCCCTGTTCGACGCTGATGAAATCACCTTCATTCTTGATAAGCAACGTTTCCACGGTGTTGTCTAAGCTCAAGGACGGCTGTTGTGGCACAGCAACAGTAAAAGATAATTCCCCGAAGTTCGCGAAAACACACAGAAAATCGGTGTGTGTAGGATGGATTGCGAATGTCATGAAAAGAGAAAAAGAAAAGAAAGAAAGTTATAGGTTATGCAAACATATCGCACGGTTGAACTTATGTACTAGATAGTCTTTTACGCATACATTATGGACTTAACTGTAAATTGCAATTTTATGCGGTGAGCACTTGTAGCTGATAGTCAGATGCAAAGCTTTCTTATATAAGTATGAATGTATGAAGAGTAGTGCTACTCTATGCGAGTATAGCTCAACATGTTGCACGTTGTAGCTGTTAGCTGTACGCAACTTGCACTGTAGTGGCAACTTGTGTGCATATTTAAGTGCAGAGGAAGAAATGATTTTGAACGCAACATTTTCTGTTGAGAATTTAGCTATGCATAAACACGTCTTCTGAAAGCACTGCAATACTTTTGGGGATTTTGAGTTGTAAAAGAGATGCTTGCATGAGTGTGTTTAGAGAGACGTAAATAACTACAAATACTTGCATATGCTTGTTGATCATTTTATAAGTCCGTAACACGTATGTTAGTATGTTGGGCACTTAGCATAAAATTCAAAAAAAAAAAAACTGCAACGACTAAATACATTTTCAAGCAACAGAAATAATGAAAAATATTTCTAGTGATTTTTCTTGAGAGTTGTATTCCAAACTTTACGCAATCCGCAATGAAGTGTACTAGAAATTTATTCACAATGTATGTAGGTTCAAAATAAGTTTTACTTATTGCAAATACTTTAAAATTTCTGCTTAAAATAAGTATTTTTTTAAATATATTCTCTTAGCTCTCTCTGCGCATGTATTTACTTCCCTCTGTTTTTTTTTCTCACAAATATGCTATTCCTTTGCATTTCAATTAAATAAGCTTTATTTTATTTTGCGCCACAACGGCTTAAAAATACATACAATAAAAGCTTAGGCTACTTTATAAAAATACTTAGTAATACTTTAATGCGTTTGTTTACTTTGGCGCTGCTTATATGTATGTGTGCATACATGTAACTACTTTTATACATACATAAGTACATGCAACACAATTCTATTTGGCAAAGCCTATTGTTGAGAGGAGTATTTTTTCTATCGAAGATAAAACACATTTATTTTTTCTAATGGCGATTTCGTTTCTACCGAAAAAGGTTACCTTCTTTTTGCCCTCTACGTACAAATACCAAGAAGAGGGCAATGAGAAGGCAACATTTTTTGTAGAAACGAAAACGCCATTAGCCTTTAGATGTGTATACTTTTGTAAAGAATTCTAGAATTTATTAGTACAATTCGAAAGCTACTTAGTTTGTGAAGTATGCATGAAAAAAATATGAGTTTTTATATTCAAAGGTAGCTACGTGGCGTATGAGTAACATTATGTGGCTTTACTGTACTGAAAATAACAGTTAAATATCAACATTTTTATTTTAAATCTTTGCAAAATCGTTAACTTTAGACTTCCGGTTTAATAAAGACTGCATTTTTATGACCCTTTTAAATCTCTTATTACCTAAGATTTAAATCTGGAAATAACAGTAAAATCATTAAAAAAAATTAAATTGGATTGGAAAAATATAAGTTTGGTTTATGATTTTTATTATAAAGATTATGGCCGTGACGGTCCCTGTTTACATCCGTTCATTTACTCTTCAATAATGTCATAACTCAAAAAAAAACCAAACTCCAAAACGGCTTTAAAGTTGTGAATTTACTTACATATATATGTATGTATGTAGTCCCGTAGTAAAAATTAGTACATATTTTGTTCTAGTGGGCTACTGGTAATCGATACATCTTTAAAATTTTTTGCAACATAGAAAAAGAAGTAGTGGTAACTTCTGCTGACTTAACCCAAAAATTTGTAAATACTAATTGTAGTAAATGAGCGATATGTGCTAAGAGTGACAGTTACTGCCAAAATTTTACCACTTTTCTCTCTTTGAAAAACGAAAGCAGTAAGCTTAGTATTAGTCTTTGTGTTTTTATTCGTCATCGTTTAAGACATCGTCGTCCTATTCGTATTCATCTCCGTAAACGTATTCATCTTCGTATTACTTATTACTATTCATATTACTCTTCGCCTTCATGTTCGAATTCGTATTCGTTTTCGTATTTGTCCTTCTATTGATATTCGTCTTCGGTTGGACTTCACAGTCGTATGAGTTTTCGCCTTTATATTGTTCTTCGCATTTGTCTTCGCAGTCGTCATCGTGTTAAACTTGGTATTTTTTTAGTTATCGCCTTTATATTCGTTTTTGTATTCGTTTTGATTTTCGTCTTCGTGTTTGTCATCGTATTCGCTTTTGAATTCTTCTCTGTATTTGTCTTCGTATTTGCCTTATATTCGTGTTCGTATTCGTCTTTATATTCGTGCTCGTAATCATATTCGTTTTCTTCTCCCATAGTTGGTCTTCATATTAATTTTCGTATTTGTTCTCATGTTGGTGTTAGTCGCCGTATTCATCTTCGTATTCGCCTTGGTGCTCGTATTCGAAGCAAAAAACAAATAAAAAATTAATATGAAAAAACAAACAATTTTGAAACTATAAAAACCATTCCGATCTCTCCAGTAAAACCGCCTAACAAAGGCGGACAAAGTTTATGCTGGCGTATTAATAAGGCAATATTTCATTGGGTTCGCAAATAATATTTCTACAATTCACTAGAAATATGCAGATGAATGTAGTTAAAGATGCCCTTTTAATATAAGCTTAATAAAAATATTAAATTTGTTAAGTGAAAATAATTTTTTTTCTGTGTTTCCTAAAGTCACTTAAGTGGTTTTAATAAAATGCAATGAATATATGTATGCCTATAAAGTGTGTTCTTCCTAAAATAAAGTTTTAAAATACACGATTGAAATACTTCAAGAAAAGAGTGAGAACTCCTGAGAGTGTAACTCGAGTAACTCTCTTAAGCTACTAATAATAATATTTGGTTAATATTTGGTTGCTTAAAAATACGGAATTATTAGTAGTGTTTAAGTGAAACTTTGCTTTCCATATTGGCTTCATTGAACGAAGTTCCAAATTTGTTGGAGAAAATGTCGATTTCATATACATAAATGCGTACATATGCACATAACACGCAGAAGAAGAAAAATTGATAAGTTGCCCATACGCCCCGTCATGTACGCCCCTTTTTTTTGTGTACACGCCTAAATAATTTTTTTTAATATTTCATTAATTTCTAATTATGACCGTGAGAGTTTTTTGACTAAATTTTTTTTTTATATCTTTTTAGCCTTCATGTTTGCCATATCTACGTACATATTTCTAAAATATATTCAGCGTCGTTTCACCCTAAATCACTTGCACTATAAGCCAAAAAAAAAAACATTGCAATTCCTTCCTCTTTGCCCGCCACTTATTGCCACACTCCACCTACTTACTCGGAATTTTGCAACCTTGCTCCAGTTTACATTTAATTTATCATTACTTTTTTCCTTCTGCATTTTCACACCTCAATGACGAGATAACAAAATGCTGTCAGTGCGGCCTTATGTCAGCAACAGCATATCGGTTTTCATTATTTTCATTTTGTGGCTGCCTGCCGCTAATGTTGCCATTTTTTACTACCTTCATTCCATTAAAAACCCTTTAAGTAGTGAAAACGTTCTCTGCTCATTCCATTTTTTTTTTTTTGTTTTATTTTGCTGGCACACTTTCATTCAGTTGGAGCTAGTTTGGAGGTCGTCGGACGTTGTTGCATGCAACATGCTTTTAAGGTGAAACAAACTTATCGCTGTGTGTTTGCAATAAAACTCTCAATAGTGAGAACAACAACTACATACATACATACATATGCATGCAATGCGCCATCTACATATAAGCACCTGCGCATGCAACAACAAAGCAGCCAGCAACAGCCATAAAACCCACACAAACAACATCGACAAGTTAGTCAACGAATCGGTCTCAATGTTGCTTTTATAGCTGCTTTCAGTGATTTCCTGTCGGCGATTCGAGCTTGGCACCACCAGCAACTCCCCGGCAAAGGTGGGTTTTATACGTTGCAATGTTCTTCCTTTCACTCTCGTTGATGTGGCTGTTGCAAGCATAAAGAAAGGTATGGTACGCAATAAACCAACAATGAAATTTTTTCCTTTACTTTGCTTGTAGTTGTAGCTTTTTCGTGCTTCACCTGTACTTTCGAACACACATGCATACATATAACGGGTGATTTTTTTGAGGTTAGGATTTTCATGCATTAGTATTTGACAGATCACGTGGGATTTCAGACATGGTGTCAAAGAGAAAGATGCTCAGTATGCTTTGACATTTCATCATGAATAGACTTACTAACGAGCAACGCTTGCAAATCATTGAATTTTATTACCAAAATCAGTGTTCGGTTCG